TTTTTTTGACAATTCATGTACATACCGAGAAAAAAGAGTTTCAGATTCTGCTTGTAAAGAAGCACATAAGTAAGAATAAATTTCTGCTTGTTGGTTTTGGTCTTTAACAAGTTGTCGAATCTTTTTCTTCCAATTTTCATGCACATGCCAATGACAGAGAAAATGCTTGATGTCCTCCCCAAAAATTTTCTTAGCAGCATTCCAACCAGAATTGTCATCGTCCGTCATTAGAATATTAATTTTTGTATTAGGGGCTTTCATTTTGACAGAATTCAAAAAGATAGATATAACATCCTCACTCTCTCTGTTACTTATACAAAAAGCAACAGGGTAACCATGCCTAAATTCATCTAAGACCAAAAGAGTTATCAATTTAAAAGAATAAATATTTGTTTTATGGGTTGAATCCATGCAGAGTATTACAGGAGCAAACTTTTCAAACATTTCAAGCTGCTGCTTGGTCATTAGAGCAAGCAAAAAATCCTCCTTTTGAAGCCCTATAGATGGATCATTAATATTTTGCTGTTTATACAATAATATTGGATCATATAATTCATTTCTTAATTCATTTACTTTCAGAAAGGTTGAAGTGGCATCATCAGAATGTCTAATAACAGATGAATCAACAATAGTTTTCTTCAAATTATGAATAGTTTTTCTATCCAACAAATGATAATATTTCAATTTACTTAAGTCATCACGCTGGTTGCGTTCACCTACATTTTCTCTAATTTTGTCAAGTATAGTGTTAATGGTTTAAAGTAGTGAGTTATCGTTCCTAACATAGCGGCGCTACATGTCCCGGTCCTTGTGATACTTCCGCTTCGTAGTAAACACACGTGAAACAATAACGATAAGAGTACATAAGTAAGTAATAAGTTGAATTAGAACACACAACAATGCCCAGTAGTTGCTGCTGTGTACCTGGATGTCATGAAAGAGGCGGGCATCAGTTCCCAACCGAAAAATCAAGGAGAGACAAGTGGATTATAGCAATTAAACGCTTGGACGAACACACGAGAAAGTTGTGGGAGCCTTCCAAGTCTGCCGTTGTATGCAAACGACATTTTAAACCTGACGATTACGTGACAGAAACAATACAAGGTATTGTTAATCAACTTTCTTTTGTTCACTATCGAATGTTGTAGCAAATGAAAAGATAACATTTCTTGCAAACTGTGTCAGCTGAGTGTATAGCCGATTTGTATTTTTATACAACCCACTTTTTTTTATTTTCATGTTCTTTAACTTGCATTAAAAATTTTCATTGAAGCACACATATGTGAAAACGAATAAAAATAGCGTTTTCAGTATGAATAGATATACACTACATTGTTTATCAACAGGACAGAAACCATTACATGGAAGACTAAAGAGTTCTTCAGTCCCTAGTATTTTCTGCTGGACAAAGTCATCGGCGGCATCTACTTCAAGATCTTCTCGAGTAGAAGGCCGGGTGCAGAAAAAGAGAAAATTTGAGGAAGCTTGCCATGATGACCTTGAGGACAGCATTAATGAGTCAAATATAGACTCTGTTGAAGAGATTCTGTCAGCTGACGAGTCAACAAGCAACGATACTAACATTACATCATATAGTCCAGAATTTAGAGAAATGCAGACACAAACACAATCACAACCATTATTTTCAGTAGAGCATTTTGAAAAAGATGATGCTGCCATTCACTTTTATACAGGTCTAGAAACATATAGTAAATTTATGTATGTACTTTATTCACTTGGACCTGCTGCATATTGTCTTAATTATATTTTTTTTAGAGTGCAAGGAGTGTCGATTCCAGATCAGTTTTTTATGACTTTAATGAAATTAAGAAGGTACACTACAAACTTTGAACTTTCTAGATTTTTCAATGTATCTGAGAGCACTGTAAAAAATATTGTTTATACTTGGATTATATTCATGTCAAAGCAATGGCAAGAGGTGTCCATATGGCCGCCTCAATCCCTTGTCAGATATTTTTCACCTTCAGATTTTAAAGCCAAATTTCCTAAGACTAGAGCAATTTTAGATGCAACTGAGTTTCCTATTAAAAAACCAAGTTCACCAAGAGCACAACAAGCCACATTTTCAACCTATAAAAACAGAAACACGATGAAAGCTTTTATAGGTTGTACACCAGGGGGTCTCATAAGTTTTATTAGTCCAGCATATAGTGGTTCAACCAGTGACAGAAAAATTGTAGAAAGAAGTAGTTTGAAAAGTCTGTGTGATCAAGGTGATAGTTTAATGGCTGACAAAGGTTTTAATGTACAAGATATATTTGCTACAAAAGATATTACAATAAATATTCCTACTTTTTTTAAAAACAGAAATAGAATGTCAGGTACTACAGTTTTGCGTGACAGAAAAGTTTCGAGCAAAAGGGTTCATATTGAAAGGATTATTGGTTTAGGAAAAACATATCAAATTTTAACACATCCTCTTAAAAGTACTGAGGCATGTTTATCATCAGATATAGTATTCATTTGTTACATGTTGTGCAATTTTCGCACCGGAATTATTCCAGCAGATGCTTGATTGTTTTATGTAAATTAAGTGCATTTTAAATTTTGAACAGTCATATCTCTTAAACTTTTAATCATGTAAACATTACCAAGTCATAATACATGAACATTTGAGATTTGACTATTTCACAAGATCAATTGACTGTATGGAATGTGTAAGAACTTTTTCTACATGTAAAATGTACTTTTTTTTTACTGAAATTCAATGTCATGTCAGATTTTCACTCAATCTCGTTGTAGGACTTGTAGAAATATTTTTCAAGTACTGCATCCTTGAAGAAATTGGTGTAAAACTTTTCCAATTTGTCTACCATTTCATGTATGAATGTATCATCCCGTTTGATCTGAATATACGCAATGTCATTTACAGTCAAATTATTTGATAAACAAACAATCAGAATACAAGATTTTGCACCAGTACAAAGAAGTTGTCCTTGTATTTGATAAAAATAATCATGATGATTATCAAGAAAGTATTTCCCTTCCTGGTTTGTTTTCAAATATGGCACTGTAGTCGGTGAAATTTTCTTGTTTCTAGAAACATATGGACATTTCACCTCTACGAGTTCCTCTTCATTTATGATTCCATCTGGTGATGCAGCTAGAAATGGATAATCTTTACAAATTATTAGGCCACTTGCCTGCACATCTTTATGGTGATCATTTTTAAACTTCTTTATGGCAACTGATTCATGCTTGTGGCCGTGTTCAATGGAATTTGATTTTATATTTTTGGTAAATGTGAGAGATTGAGCAAGTTTTCTTTTGTCAGTTCTCTCTGTGCATTTGCATATCCGCCCAAACATTGATGATGTTAAACGCTTCGTTCTCTCCGCTTTCCAAGTTTTATTATTGCCCTGCCCCATTGTTTGATGTTTGATCTTCTCAATTTGAGAATTGGATATATGAGAAATGAATGATGTTTGAAGGAAATGGTCTTCAGGTGTCAGTTTTAAGTAGTCATGGTCATGTGCCACTGCCATCATATTGGCAGGGGTAAATGTTTGGAATATTGGAACGTTAGAAACTCCAGGGAAATTGAGCCATACATTTTTGAAGTGATCAGGATATGCTGGGTTATTTTGAAATTTTTCTGGTCTTGGGTCAAAGTTGACAGTTGTAAATTCATCAGCACCAGGTAGATGTAGATCTGTTGATTTCATTGGGCTACCTTTAAATCTTTTACATTTATGAAAGGTCTGTAAACGCTGTGTGCAAGTTTCTTCTGTCTTGATGAACTTCTGTTTTGCAAACATTACCGCCCCATACATGACAGCTCCAACATGTTTACAGTGTGCATTAGGCCCCATGCCTGCAGCACACTCACACTGAGCTTCCGATATTGACCCCTCCTTAGTTATTTTGAGATCAACTGTATACGACACACCTTTTCTCATTTCGGCACGACACTTGCCTTTGATGTATGTGAGTGGGTTTCTATCAATGGAGATACGGTAACATATTAAGAAATTATCATTGTACAGTTGAATAAAATGATTATCAAACTTCTTTTCAAATAGTTCAAAATAGGCTTGAACCGTTTCCATAGTCAAACCATGGAATGGGGTATCAGAATTGACGTCCGAGTATGTATCGTAATCAGGTAATATCATGTAAAAATCTGGGTCAAGCTTCTCGACACTTCCAAAGTCGGCATTTCTATCGTATGCGTCAAGTCTGTTAAAAATACAAATACTCGGTTTTTATCATGTTTTTAATAGTTTAATTTTGCAAATATTTACGGCATTACTTGATTGACTAATAACAGAAATTACACATGTTAGAGTCGGACATTTAACAGCATGCGGTTTTCAGTATCGAATTACCTGTCGACCAGTTCTGCTTTCCGACCCGATATTCTTGCATTTCGTTTTCTTAGTTCGTTTTTAAGCTCAATTATACTCAAGGAACCGTATTTTGAGTTATCCATGATAATTTTCAACTGTTTTGATCTTAAATACACACGTAACAAAATACAACAACGAACGATAGTAATCTCGCATCCAATGTAAACAAGATGCTATGGACCGGGAATAGTATCGCCGCCTAGCGGGAGGCAGGGGAACGCAACTCACTACTATCTCCCATTGGAATTTTTAGAGCTAACATTGTTAAAATTTCTGACTTGATGGAATCTGGCAAAGGTAAGAATTTGCTTTCTTCAAATGCAATTGAGTGAGTATGGGACTTAATGTACTTCACTGAAACAGAGCCATCCGATTTAATTTTGACAGACATTCTAGAAGGACATAATTTTTGAATTTTGCAAGACCCTTTAATGTTTTCTTTGCGTTTTCCTGAGTAAGCTTTACCTTTTTTTAAATGAACTCGTTTAACCCCATCCCTATGGCAAACAAGAGTAAAAGATTGACTGCCATCCTTATTGATTTTATTTTTCCTTTGCTTAACATACCTACAGTGAATTTTAATACTTTCCTCCTCTTTAAATTGATCAAATAAGCCAATGTTTTCAAAACTGAGGTTTTCAACTTCTATACATGCTTCATGAGAATTTTTCAGATGGTCAACTAAAACATCTACATTATGAAATTTCAAAGAACACGATGAAATGGAACAAGGAATTTTGTTTTTATTTTCTAGATCATGGACCAACTTTTGATGTCTTATCAGTGTGACCTTGTTGTAGAAATTTAAATTGCATATAGGGCATTTTGTCTTAGACCCTGAATTTATTCTAGTGTCTACATTTTGTCTGCCATAAGAATGCTCCATATTTTGGTTTTTAATTTTGTAGCTCTTGATATCTTCTAACAGATCTAAACTGATTTGTTTGCAAGTTTTTGAATCAGACCTCCAGTTGTAATTACTTATATTGTTGTTAGAAATCCTATTGGTGTTTTCTGATGACGTAGGCAGTGTTTGTTCTCTTAATGTTGGGTTCTCTACTACAGTTTCGTAGTGACCACCTCCAGCCCTTGTCCAAACCAAATGAATAATGTTATCTGAATTTTGACAATTGTGTTCTAATGTTCTAACCTCTGGACTTTGAGAATCTCCCCCAATAGTTACAAGTATATTTAAACCTAACACTCTGGACAAAGCAACTATTGACTCTTGTCCTGCAAATGTTCCTAATTGCCTTAAATTATTGAGAAAGGTAACAATTTCAGAGTCAGTCATGGGTAGTTCACTATTTCCATACAAATAAAACCTGAAGTCTTCTAAGTTTTCTTGAATATGATTTACAGCTAATTCTCGTAAAGAGATATGATGGTCTTCAGTGCCATATAAACCAAAACTAACAGAACGAAACAAACAGTTACCGTCTCCTTGAATATGGGTTCGATACAAACCATACTGGGAAAGATACTCATCCTGCTGAAGAAGTTGTAGCTGATGATCCAGTTGTACTCGATGTGTTTCATCTACTTCTTTTAATACGTTTTCCATGGACTCAAGTTCCTGATTACATAGACAATGACTTTAATAAAGCACGAAAACATTTATTATGAAAATATGTGTATTGCAGAGTTCTGATTTAAAGAAGGAAACAATCTGTTTTCTTTCTGTTATCATTACATATACAATCAAGAAAAACAAGTTAAATACTGATACATTTACTATTAAATAAATTATCATTACTTCATCTGTATACCAGTAATTATACCAAAAAGTCTTTTTTTGTGAGGGAAATAACAATGTAACAGTGAGGTTTAAGGGGGCCGACTATAGATCATAGATCATTGCGCACATCATAGTAAAATGGACCTATTGATAGGTAGGTTGACATCGTTGCACTGTGTTTTAAAGAAAGAGGTAATAAAATAATATTAAAGAAAAAATAATAAACATAAGCTCTTGAAATTTAAAACAAAGAAATTTGAGAATATCTCCAATATTTTTATTATGTTTTCATGTGAATCCATTGTGTATGTCATATTTTGTAATACTCTATAAAAATAATAAAATTTGCAATTTTTTTGCATTTTGAGATGCCCCCTCTGGTAACAAGATGGTAGAATTTTGTGTTTCTTACATATATGGTATAATATAGTATAACTCATCAAATACTATAGTTTTAACAAAATGTCAATTGTAGTATTTGTATAATTTGCTCTAAAACGCTAAAAATGGGCATTTTCGTATATAATCCTAGAGTAAATGTACCTGTATTTTGAGACGGTCCCTATAAAATACTTGGACGGTAGATTTTTCCCAAACTTTGCATGTACACTGAAGTTGATGTAAGTTATATATGGTATAAAATGAAGAGTTTCGCTTTTGTAGTTTTCACACATTAAGACTATAGTCGGCCCCCTTAACACATTTTTTTCCTTGTGCAAAAAGACATTCATGCAGTGTGATCCATTACTGGAATTAGTTTATAAGTCATACATAAATTTAGTCAACATTGGCAGTGATGGGAATTGAACCCATGTCTTAGACTGTCCACACACTACCTGTAATGATGTTAATTCAGTGCAGTAGTGTTAGGAATAGTGCAGTAGTATTAGGAATAGTGCAATAGTATTAGGGATAGTGCAGTAGTGTTAGGAAATAGTAGAAACTATTTAAGTTAAGGGTTATCAAAGAATTCAGCAAGAAGTGTTCTAATGAAAGAAAAAGTGAGCTAGCTCACATACCCCACGCTCCCCCAAAACTTGACGGTGAAGCACATAATGAAAGCCACAGTGCACTTTCAATACATAGTAAAGATCATAAAGGGCTTGCAAAAAAATCTCACATCAAAATGTCTTACATATGAGGACATTTAAATGTGGAATGAAGTTTCTAGATAAATAATGGAATCAAAATTTCTTGGCATTATACAAATCCAAACATTAATTTGAAGTGGTTGTTGGGGGGGGGGGGGAGAGAAATTTTCTTGAATAATAGGCAAAACTCTTTGGGATAAAATAAACTATGTACAACAGTTTAAGAGGAGTGGTGCTGACAAACTGTTCATCTCTACATTCTAAATATGGCCAAAAAGTCTAAGTTGGAAAGTGTGGAAATTCCCGGAAAAATAATGGAATCGGAATTTCCTGGTAATATGCACATCTACACATTGTGTCCTAAATACCTGCAAAGTTTGACGAAATTCTGTGTAGCGGTTTATGAGGAGTTGCGCTGACAAACTGTTCATCTCTATATTGAAGGTATGGCCAAATGCCTAAGTTAAAAAGTGCGGAAATTCCCGGAAAAATAATGGAATCGGAATTTCCTGGTAATATGCACATCTACACATTGTGTCCTAAATACCTGCAAAGTTTGACGAAATTCTGTGCAGCGGTTTATGAGGAGTTGCGCTGACAAACTGTTCATCTCTATATTCAAGGTATGGCCAAATGCCTAAGTTAAAAAGTGCGGAAATTCCCGGAAAAATAACGGAATCGGAATTTCCTGGTAATATGCACATCTACACATTGTGTCCTAAATACCTGCAAAGTTTGACGAAATTCTGTGCAGCGGTTTATGAGGAGTTGCGCTGAAAAAAAAAAGAGGACTGACTGACTGACGGACTGACTGACTGACTGACTGACGGACGGGTCAAAAACATTATACCTCCCGCAACTAGTTGCGTGGGGTATAATAAAGATGTGTCGCCTTTTTTATAGCAGGAAATATATATGAATCCAAAGGTATTGAAAACAAGAGGCCCATGGGCCGCAATGCACACAGTAAATTTTCAGCTGTTTTATCCCATAAGCTCTTGAGAAGAAGATTTTTTATTGGCCCAAACCTATTTTTGTCTCTCTTGCAGAAAGTGAATTTTTTTACAGCACAATATTAAGCAAAATTGTGAATATTCATTTAAAATCCTTGAAAATATAGCTTGTAAAAATATCATGTTATTGTGCTATTTTGGGAATAAATGGTGATATATCGATAAACAAATATTTTAGGTATGGGAGATTTTTTTTACATATTATTATTATTATTATTATTATTAATCTACTTTTATATAGCGCCCTATATAATTATGGAATTACCCTAAAGCGCTTTACACGTAGAAAACAATTACAATATAAAACAAAGGACGGGTACAATATAAAATAGCAAAAAGGTAAAATCATAGGGCATTTTTTTTTTTTTTTTTTTTTTTTTTTTTTTTTTTTAATAAAATAAAACCAACTGGATGCTCCATTGTGACTAGAGCCTTATAAACTAAAGGCGAGTCTAAAAAGATGTGTTTTTAGATTTCTTTTAAAAACTTCAAGTGACTGTTCTTTCCTAAGATCCAGCGGGAGGCAGTTCCACAGGGTGGCTGAAGATACATCAAACCTTCTATCTCCATACATCTTACTTTGAGTGCGTGGTTTAACAAGGCTCAGTGAATCCCCAGACCGTAGTGAACGTTGTGGGCGATAGACCTGAACAAGTTCCTGGATGTATTTCGGGGCTAGCTTCTGTAAGGCCTTGAAAGTGTACAACAGAATTTTATATTGTGCACGGTATGCCACAGGTAGCCAGTGAAGAGTTATTAGAATTGGTGTTATATGTTCATGTTTTCTCAAACGTGTCACCAGTCTGGCTGCAGTGTTCTGAACTTTCTGCAACTTTTGCAAGGATGTGGCATTGAGGCCAAAAAATAGTGCATTGCCATAATCAAGTCTAGATGTCACTAAAGATCTAACAAGTGTCCTGCAAGCATCCTCTGTTATGAGTGATCTTATTCTACCGATGTTACGAAGATGGAAATAACAGGATCTTGTAACCGAATTGATTTGACAGTCCATGCTTAATTTGCTGTCGAAAAATACCCCGAGATTTTTAACACAGGAAGCATTACTGATGACTGATCCACCAAAAGCGAGTTTACGTCCTGTAAATTCATTTGCCATACGTTTCGGTGTAAAGATGATGAGTTCAGTCTTATCCTGGTTTAACTTAAGGATGTTGTTTTGCATCCAGTCTTGTATATCAGACAGACACCGTTCAAGTCTATTCGCAATGTCGTCCCAACTGTCCTTCGGGTTAATAATCAGGTAAACCTGTGTGTCATCAGCATAACAATGGTAATACATGTTATGTCTCCGGCAAATTTCTCCGATGGGTTTGGAGAACATACAATATAGACGAGGTCCTAAAACAGACCCTTGTAGTACACCAAACTGGAATAAGAACTCTCTCGAGAATGTCGAACCTACAGCAATTTGTTGACTTCGACCAGATAAATAAGACTTTATTAAGCTTTGATAGAGGCAAAGTTACATTACAGTCATCCTGAACAATATTTATTTCTATTCAATTGTATAGAACTATTTCTTGAGCAAATTTTAAAACTTTATTTGGGTCTTATTGATCATAAGGGCTTAAATAGCATAAAAATTATTCCTAATAACATATTTTACCAGAAAAATACAATTCTAAAAAATGCAGCTCATATGGCTTTAAGTTAACCCTGTAATTGAGGGTATTACCCCAAAATACAGAAATAACCCTAGAATACTGGAAAATTTGCCCAATTATCCTCATAGTGAACCTCTGTTATACCAGACAGACAGATGCCAGGTAAAGTGATCCCTATGTGTCGCCCTCCTCTGATGGGGACACAATTAGGTTGTTTCCTATTATATACAACACGAATATATATATATACCTCATACCAAACCATCACCATCGAAATAAAAAAAACTTAAAGCATATCTTAATTAAAAAGTAAATGTGCATAAAAATGTGATTTAAGAAATTGTGCATAGAAGATATATATTGTTATTCTGTAATTAAGAATGTTAATAGAGGTTAAAAAAAGCAAGTGCATGATATATATTCTTAATCTTATGATCAAACCAAAGTCCCCTTCTCCAAAAACCTGAAAGAGTTCAAAACATCTTCACCTTAAACATGTTAAATGGGCATTTCAATCATCCATCACAAAAGCAATACAATTGTTCATGATAGTACCGTATATACTCGCCTATAAGTCTGTATTTTGGGAGTTAAATATTGGTCTAAAAGTCTATGTCCGACTTATAGGCGAGTCATAAAGAGGTATTTTTCTGGAGGGCTGAAATTTAGCATTTTACTTACATTTCCGACGATTATTGAAGAAAATGTCTGCATATAATAAATTATAATTTATGTATTCTTAGATTATACATATAAAGTACCAGATCTTACATATTTTCAATATTTTATTTGTTTTTTTGTGAGCATTGCCTTTTAAACAATAATTTAAGATTAAATATTAGTGTCACTTCGAAAAATATTAATTGAAACCAGGTTAAAACATCAATAGATTTATTTGAAATTGGCATCCGAATTTGGCATGAAAATATACCGACTTATAAGCGGGTCAATTGCAAATCACACCAAAATAACGTCAAAAAATACAACCGACTTATAGGCGGACCGACTTATAGGCGAGTATATACGGTATTTCAGTTATCATGGTTATGAGCCTGACACACAAAAGCTAATAGACAGACATAAATACCAGAACTTAATAGGTCTCCATTATTTTATTAGTATTTTCAGTTAAGTGTGGTATATTCACCTATACACTGTATAAATTTTTAAGTTCTTCTCCAAAATGACATCCTAAGTGTCCTAGACCTGTCTTATATACCCAGGCCAGGACATTATTTTCAATGAAAAGTACCGTTTTAATATCTAAAGCATAAGTTTACTTTTTTGGTTCTTAAGTTAGGGCTTAAAGTTAAACCATGTAAAAAGTATAATGTGACCTTGTTCTTGTCAAAATGGCATTGATACTGGGTTGAGGGATATACCTCTGAAATGCTTCCCTTAGGTTAGGTATGAGCCTGTGAAATTTCTTTTAAAAAATTAGCTTAAAAGGGAATTTTACTTATAAAAACTTGTAAGGAAAAAAGTTAAGAAAACTTAAAAAGATAATGAAAAAAAATTGGAATATTTTTCAAAGATGAGGGGTCACAGAAACAGTGTATTAAAATATAACAATGAAATCCAACTACAAAAAGATTCAATTTCAGTCGTCAACTTAGTTTATAGGTATAAAAAATGAAATAAATTCTATTTTTTTCAAAACTAAAATGCATACCTGTAACTGAACATCTTTCAAAATGGGTGGCAAAAAGTTGTCCTGAAGAATAAAAAAAAAATAATTATTAGATGATGATGCATAAAAACTTTTCCATTATCCTTATAAAAAAATCAGTTTTCTTTCTCTCATCATGCTCATGTTTGCTATGAACATTAGCTGTATTTATTATCAAGTATCACGGTATATGTTATTTCTCTGTTTTTGAACTTACCTGAGAATGAAATGGTAGAGGCAGATCCTCACCAACACAATGTACAGGTGCCCAGAGGGTAATCTGTCAAACATAAACCAGGTAAAGTCTTTTAAAACATGCAAAACAACATTAAATACCTTGAAACTTATTTAACAAAAAGATTATTGGTATACTAATAGATGTCTATATTTACGTTTGCAAATGTTTTCCTTTATATAAAACTACTGAAAGCATAAATACAGATACGGGGGTCAAGAGGTCATAAATGTGCATATAGATAATCTTTCGACGTAATTTCTCAGTGACAACATTAAAGTTCGACGCACGTTCAGAGGATAGCATACATGCCGTTGGTTTTGAAAAAAATGCATTTCACATGTTATTTAGTCACAATCAGGTAAATATAAAATGAATAAGTCTCAAATGTAAATATAAGTAATAAGGTATCATTTTTAAACATCTATCGGGCTATAAATATGGGTTGGTAAGAGATTAAATCCATCATAAAGCCTTCGGGCTGTATGGAATTAAATCTCGTGACCAACCCGTATTTATAGCCCGATAGATGTTAAAAAATGATACCTTATTTTTTAATATTATTAAAATTTTAAGTCAAATATTTTAACATCACAATTTACGGTTTATAAAAAAAGCGTAAACTGCTCCAAGTTTTGTTATATCGTATAACATAAGTTGAAATTAGCTTCTTTCCTTATAATTTAATTTCAGTATAGACAATAAGACAATTTGTCCTCCAGAATAAGATTTCAAATTGAGCGTTATTTTAAAAGTACTGTCAAGCGCAGTAATATTTTTTGCTGTAACTCGTTGTGAGGTAGGCAAGTTATGTTATCCAAAAAATTATATGTTCCTCTGAATGATTCAACCAATGAAATAGCTTGATACAAAAGAAATTAAATTATTTGTAAATAAACCAAACTACAAAATACAGTTGCAAAAAATATTTTAATAATGTTTGAAGGATTATTCAACCTTTTGACATTCCCCTCTGCTTCTAGAAGGGTCCCAATCGAGTTGGCCCCAGCTAGAGCTCTTTTGATGAATATACACCAAACAAATGCCAACTTTGAACATACTTACTTTAAAGAAAGCAACTTTATAAAATCACAGGGGCTTGTGTAGAGAAAATACATTAGTTAGAAAAAATTAGTACCTATGAGAAAACACATGTTTCATTCTCTTAGGTACAAATTTTTTTTAACAGATTTATTTCCTCTACACAAGCCCCTGTGATCAAATAGCTACAAATACTGTAATTTTAACTCAGAAATGTTAACATCCAACCAAAGAAATATGTATCCCATCAATAACCCGAATAAAATCAATAAAAAAGTGTTATACTTATATGATTAAACATATAATGATAACTATTTAGATAACTATCTTACAACTAATTTTTTTTCATCAAAGTTTTAAGTGTAGCATTGTGTTTAATAACTATTGCACTAAATATTGCAATATATGCTAAAATAAATTTTATTTTCAATGGAAAAACACTAAAAAGTTTTAGAAAAACTTATTTAAGAAATAAGATTTAGATATGATTGAAAAATAAACATACCACACAAGAAATTGCTAGCAGAATCATGACTGTGAATTTTCACCGGTTCAAGATCCAAAGAGAAAGCGGAAGTCGCAATGCGCATGCGCAAATGGGAAGCAGGGAGCTGCCGAAAGTTGAATCTTTTAGGCACAAGGGTTTGTCACGAAATAATATATTTATCTTCTTTTAATATAGTTACCCCAACTATGAAAATACACAAGAGAGGAATCTAAAAATAGGAAATTCGCTACCACAAATTTTTACGGGACGTTCTATCTAGTTTCTGGGTAGCTTGCGCTGCCAAGTATTTTTATAGTAGGGGTAACTATATTAAAAGGAGATAAATATTTCGTGACAAGCCCCTGTGTTGGCATTATCCTGTTATTTGCTTCGCGAAGGAAATAAGTTTGACGTCTTTGACGTTAACGTCAAATTCATCTGTGAACATGTATTTCACTAATGTATACATGTACAATGATCTTATGATGCAAAATTTTATTCTTCGTCTTCCCTTGTGTATTTATCGTATTACCCCTTAAAATATATTTTTATTGCTACAACACTTTTTTCTCTTATTTAGTATATGCTTTTATTCCGTCAGTATACACACAATATGTAAAATCAACAATATT